GTAGCTATCACATGTCTATAATCCGTGATACTCGGTGATTTTGGTGTCATTTAGCTCTTAAATTCATTGGTTTTAGGGGAAAGCCACGCCGTATGAGAAAGCAGTTTTCGAGGCTGTTAATTACTTAATCTCTGAAAATATGGACACCGATGTGGCTTTGGATTTACACTCTAAGGTTAGGATGTTCTAGGCTTCTGGTTCTTAGTAGTTCTTCTTGCTCTCCTTATTTTATGATGGATAGCTTGATATATTTTTCCACTGTAGCAGTTATTCTAACTCTTTATGTTTTGCAGCTCTTGGAAAAGTTGATTTGATGTCTTGGAAGAGAGTAGAGATTCTGTGTTTCTACATGGGTCGACCCGATCTCTCATTGCCTCTTTTCGAGAAGGTACCTCAAATGTTGATGAAATTGATAAATACCTCATGATTTATAAATGAAAACAGGAATCTTTATCATTACTATCTTTAATTTAATTTCCTTCACTGAACATGTATATTTGACAGATTCTACTGGAGAATCGAGTCGAGACCAAGATTATGTTTATGGTATGCTTGCATTCCCTTTATTGGAGCTTGGACATTGGGCATAAGCTGAGGTAGCTGCTAGTAAAAGGCTATGAGATCAATAAAAACGACTCTTGGGCTCATCACTGCGTGAGTTTCCAACACTTGTCCCGGTCTTTTGTTGTTACTTGGTGATCCATGTAAAAACTTTTATTATTGTCTCTTTTTGGCAGTTGTGTCATGTTCTTCAAACTGAATTTCGTTTTAAAGAAGCAGTAGAGTTCATGGAAGGATGCTCAGCTTCATGGGATTCCTGCTCTTCCTTAAGGTAACAGAATTTTCAAACAAATTAGAAACATCTTCTGATCATCTCTGGAAGAACCTACTAAAGAAAACCAATATTTTATGAACATTTTAATAGGTATTCGCATAATTGGTGGCATGTAGCTGTTTGTTACTTGGAAGGAGGGTCTCCCATAAGTAAGGTACAAGATATATATGATCATCAGATGTGTAAAAGGCTGGAGAAAGATGATGTTGTTGCTAGAGACGTAATCCCCTTGTCATTTTTCTTCCCCCTTTTTAAATGAAAAATCGAACTTCCATTAGCAATATGATGTCTTATACTTGTACTATTAAACATCAGGTTTATATGGATGCTCTTGGTTTGCTGTTGCGCTTGGACACCACGATAAACTAGATGAGTTTCTAGAGAGACTGAAGATCCTAGCAAACTGTTTGACTGATCAAGTAAGTAATTCACTTGTTTACCTTGCGTTCATATACATTTATTTTCTCTGCTTTTAATAACGATTTGTGCAACTTCGATGTTCAGGCAATGTGGTATCAAAAGTGGCTTTTTGATATTATGACAATTTGGGCATTGAGTAAAGTTGGAAACACTTTACTAGCACATGTATTGCTCGAGGGCCTCAAGTCCCGGTCAGTATCACTTTTTCTTTGTGGCAACTTATAAATGAAACTTTTGTCACTTGACTTATCATCAGACACATATAATTCTCACAGAACATCTGACATGAGTGTGAAAAAACAATAGCTGATGCAGAAAGCAATTCTGGTATGTTCTTGCCGATCCTCACTAATAATTATGGGGACTTTTGAGTTATTTACTTCTTTAACATATCATAAGATCCGTCTTTCTTATCTTTTTTTCAAATCAGCTTGCTGAAGCTGTTTATGAATACGGAAAAGGCAACTACAAAGACGCTCTAGAACTGCTTGGTCCAGACTTTGACGCTGCTGACTATAAGGTAATGAAATGTTCTTGCATCGTTAAGATATATGTCAAATCAAAACTTATTGAAGAAAACACACCAAATGCCACTGTCTCTCTTTTGGTGACGAAATAGGTGATTGGAGCATCGGGTTTACAGATCGATGTTTTTAATGAAATCTGGTACAAATTACTGTTACTCACCGGCCAATCTTCCACTGGTACACTCCCAAAAACACTATTCTTCGGCTTGGTTTTGTGGTTACTTAGCTAACTCCGCGTTTAAAACACCGAAGTTGTAGCAATTGAAGTACTAGAAAGGAGGATCAAGCAGACATATGGTGCGCTTTTCTTATGGCGTTTGCTGGTAAGTCAGACAAGTTGATTCAGGAGATACATATATATACGTCTACAGTTTATGAAACGTTGACTTTCTCTAACAGGAGAAGAGTTACTCCATGGAAGGCAAGGAAGAAGCTTTAAGTGCAGGTGAGAAGGCTAAGGCGTTGGAATCTTCATATTTCAAGTTTGCTTGATCACCCAAAACGGCGTCTGTCTTGTTGTTGTTATTTTAGACATGCTTTTGCGATTGGTTGAACAAGTCTGAATCGTTATGATCATTGGTTCAATGTAAAAGTTGACGTTGACTTTCTATGTAAATTTGGCGTTTGACTAAGAATAATAATAAATTGAAATGTACATTCTATTGACTTTATTTATAGTATTTTATAAGATGTTTATGAAAAAATCAATTAAAAGACCATTTATGGATCTTGAAGCTGTATGTTAATTATAGTTAGATATGTTGTTCAATTGCGACATGGAAACATGTCTACACATTAGGGGACGTCTAATGTCCAAACGTAGCCCATTTTTTTTTTTTTTTTTCAAAACGAAACTTTTTGAACTCTAGAATATTTTGTGATAAGTATTTTTATTTATCAATAGTAATTTTACTAAACGAGATTATTTCGATTATTTTTAAAAATACAAAATTGAATACCACATTGACATTGTTGATCTTTAAAATTTCAATCGACTAGATTTTGGGTGTTTATCACAAACTCTATTGAAATTCTGTTAATTCCATGAATAAGGCTAATTCTTGATGAGTTTTCTCCAACATATCTTATAAAATACACCAAACGTCTAAAATTTATGTTGTAATTCATATATAACAAAATGATTTGAGGACTTGTAAATTGCATGCATCACCAAAACCTCAACAAGTTGTGAAACTTCCATGGATAAGGATGATCCTTTAGTGATTTTCTCTCCAAGACTTCAACATATCTTATAATACACATGGAAACTAACGTCTAATATTTTTCTAAAATTTACTATTAACAAAACAGTGTTAAGACTTGTAGTTACGTACAACTTACATGCGTCACCTAAAAAGTAAAAACATTGAAATTTCATGGGTTTCAGGGCCGGCCCAAAGATTCATGATGCCTAAAGCCCAACAAAATTTAATGTCCATTTACAATAACTAAAAATAAAAAAATGTTAAAATCTTCGATTGCCAAGGATCGAACCTAACACCCAACTACCTTTAGACGTCCTAAATACCACTAGACTACAAGACACTTTTGTAATTTTAATGCCCTTTAAAATACATATAAGATTTGCTGCCTAAAGCATCTGCTTGATGGGCTTTAGGTCTGGGCCGGCCCTGGTTCCAGAAAACAATGTAACAAACCATATACAGTAAAACCTCTATAAATTAATACTCTATAAATTAATAATCTCTCTAAATTAATAAATTCTTTCGGTCCCGAGTTGGGACCAGTGTAAAATATGACATAAATCGATAAATTAATACGATAATAATTTTTTTGAAAATCTCATATAAACATATGGTCTCATCGATATCATAAATTAATAATTGTATAAACTTATTAATATATATATGATATAAATTTATATATGTCATATTTGAATTACTATGATATATATTTAACAAATTCTATGTAAAAAATTTAATAAAATATGACTCTATTATTCGAAAAAAGTTTGTGTTGTTTTTTTAAACTTAATAATTACCTATCTACTTGTAATTAGTTTTCAAAAGATATTACTTATAAAGAAAAAAATTATTTTTAGATAGAAATGTTTTTAAGAAATTATAAAATTAGTAAAATCTCTTTATAAATTAATAACATTTGCTAGTTCCAACATTATTAATTTATAGAGGTTTTACTGTATTTGGTGCGGAAGGTACAAATGAAGACCGATTCTCTCAAAGCCCTACGTCGGCCACATAAGCCAACAATTGGAATTAAGAACTCAACTATGACATGTTGACAAAAATAAAACCCGATATTAATACTTTTCGCTTATCCAGAAAGATATGAGTCAGCCTACCAAAAAAAAAAAAAAAAAGATATGAGTCACACGTATTTAACAAGGTAATGTGTGTATCTATCTATTATATATGCAAACTCTTTAGAAATGGACGAATCCTAAATTATTCTAGACAAATATTCATAAGTCTACTTCATGACTTTCTTGGTTTAATGGAAAAGAGACAATTCTACACAATAAGCCCACGCGCATGCACTACATTTACCTCCTCATAAATCTTCTCTCCTTCTAGTCTTTTTCTTATTAGTTTAAATATATATAATATGAACATTCTTTTCACAACATATAATATGAAGTTTTATATAGTATTCTGATTTCTTCTATGAATATATAACTATTCAATTCAATTATGGAGCTACATATAACATAATTTAAATAGCTGAAGTGATCTTTCATCAATATTGCATGATCGTCATGGTTTTGATGGATCTATAAACTTACATTTTCCTCATTAGATTATATGGTTTTGATATATATTCTCAATACATTGTTAAGATTTGAATGTTTTTTATATTATGGTGCGGATTTGTCGACAATAATTATAATCATTACTACTAGAGCGATCAAAAGACACTAATCACATCCAGAGAAGCCTTTTACCTTAACCGGGTACCGGTTTAAATAAAGAACCAACATTGAATCACAACGTAAGACATTTTCTTGCAAAGTCTACATACACATCACGCCCTTCACGCGCGTGAGGTAAAATGTTCAACAAGTTACGTAGGTGGAGAACCTTCGCAAATATACTTAAATATTAAGTTTCTTTACTAAAGGATCATTCCTTCCAACTTTCACACTTTGTTAAATATTTGTCATTAGTCATTTCTTCATTTGATTTTGTGAAATTTCTAAATAATTGCAAGCTGCATAATCCCTCCGACTATTAACTTACAAAGTACCCTTTTAGCCAGGCTTTTCTCTGTCTTATTTTTCTCATTAAACTATATAACCAAAAACAAACCTCATCTTTCTCCTTCATTTCACAAACTTATAATTCTCTGTTTTTGTTTCTTCTTCTTCTTTCAAAATCTCAAGAAAAAAAAATGGAGTTATTCACCAAAGGTAACAACGTCAAGTTACGTAGCCATCTAGATAAGTTTTTAGTCGCCGACGATGACCAAGAAACCATCCGTCAAAGCCGTAAAGGAGACGCCCGGCGTGCCGTTTGGACGGTGGAGCCCGTCGTTGATAAACCTAATCTGATAAGGTTAAGGAGCAGCCATGGCACCTACTTAACGGCGAGCAATAAACCGTTATTGTTAGGTATGACCGGTGAGAAAGTGACTCAAACGGCGTCGTTTAACAAGCTCATGGATTGGCAAACACAGTGGGAACCGGAGCGAGATGGGTTTCAGGTGAAGCTGAAGTCGTGGTGCGGGAAGTGGATGAGGGCTAACGGTGGGACGCCGCCGTGGAGAAACTCCGTTACTCACGATGAGCCTCATACGTCAAAGACCAAGAACTGGTTGATTTGGGATGTTATAACTCTTGATGGTTCTGATCTTGAAAACATGTCTGATGGTGATGAAAGCTCTGTTTCTTCTCCGGTTGGGTCTGAATTCGGGTCAGAACCCGGGTCGCCCGCTCATGGGGTGTCTACGAAGAGTAGTATTAGCCGGTTCGCTTCTCTTGGTTTACCTATGTCTCCAAGATGGTCCTCAAAACCGGTAAGTTTGACTAAGTCTTTTATTCAGTGTGCATTGATTAGTTTTTCTTAATTTCGGTATTTTTAAATTAAGGCTACTATAGAAATTTATTATTGTGAGTTGAACTTAGACAATTCTGTATATCAAAAATTAGTTGGCATGGAGTAACATGGAAAAAAAGATGGGGTTACCCGTATTAGTATCTAAAATTTAAGAAGATTAGAGAAAAATTACATGGACATATCACATATATCATTCTTTTCTCCACTAACATAGATAATGCTCCACAGCACACACATCGTTTCACCAACCTGATAGCACCAAAATATATAGTATCTTTTAATTGTATAGTTTTGATTAATTTATCCAGAACAATTTCTGGTTTTATAATATACTATAGTAACTACTATTAGTTGAAAATATGACACTTCAAATCCAACTTAAGTTTACTTCAATGATTGAAGAATAATTTCGAAATGCTTGTAGTAAAACCTCTTAACATGTAAGTGATACTAAATTTTCTTACAGAAGGATGATCAAATAAAATAAAAAGAAAAATACCATTATTCTTCAACAAGAAAAACTTGTACCTAATGGCTAAACATAAATAAATCTAGTGCCACATAACATAAGACAAGTGGAACACAAAGTAAGGTAAAAAGTTGGTGTTAGTTATGATTTAGTGATAGAGCATATGGTCCAGGGATGCCATTAGGAGAGTCCCACACTCATGAATTTCCTCTCTTGGTCTTTCTTGCGGGCAAGGGTTTATACTTTATACATTTATTTTCTAAATATTCGCTTAAATCCTCTTTTTTCGATCCATGCTTTTATGGCATAGGGACATTATTAATTTTGGAGAAAAGGGCATATACTTTTATCTTTAAAATTTTGTTTGAAATTATTTATTTATATTTTTTCAGTAATTTACCTTTGTATTGAAATGTTTATACCACATAATGCTTATAATCTTACCGAAAATCACATACTTATTTATCAAGTACTACGTTCATAAAGGAACTCGAGTTTAGTTTAGAATTTTTTTTTTTTTGAGAGAATACAACACTTGATAGTTCGAATTTGATCTAACATAAAAGAAAATGCATGCATAACTAAATAATTTATGAGATTTTTTTTTTAACGTTTTGAGAAATTAAAAGAATTATAATGGGAAAAGTAAAAAGTAACATGATACTTTAATGAAATTTTTTGTTACATATCTCAATCATAATTTATTTGTTATTTAAAATGTAAGTACCATAACTTTTATATTACTATTTCAAATGAATCTTTAATACTCAATATGGACTCCTAGCTAGTATTATATTTTTATGAAGAATATGAATCAAACATTTTGAATGATTGGAAGATATTTTTAAATGAAAAACTGTTCCAACTGATAAAAAGTTTTGGCAAAGTCATTGTTAGTGATTGATAGATACTATATAGAAAAAAAAAAACACAATTTAATGCCAATTTTTTCATCTTCTCCTCTAAGATTTAACACCAATTTTTTTTTTAATAATCTTGGAAAATACTACAAACTTTAGTTACAATCTAAAATCCTGCTTTGTTCTTGAAAATTAGTTTAAATTAACAATAGTTGGTGTCTTGGGATTCTCGTAATTAACTTTTATCTCAAGATTTAAAAACATTGGAAAGTAACAAAATCCCAAACACGTGAAACAACATCGCGTTAAAAGCTCTAAACAAAAAAAAGGAAAAAAATCCAAATCATAAATTTTCTGCTGACGTGGATATTAAATACGCGTTTAAATCCAGCCAGCAACGACTTTTCCAGATTTCTTACCTAGTCTTGTGTTCATGTCCGCGTAACCGTTAAAACCCAATTTAGACCAGTCCAGTCTCAGATCCACCGCACATATAAATAACCTAATCTCACTTCTTCTTCAACATTATTCAGTCATTTCTCTCTTTTTTTTACAGAAGTCGACGACAAGTAGCTTCAACCAAAAAGAAACAACAGTATCTGTATCAGCAATGGAGTTTTTCCAGAGAGCTAAAGCTATTCGAATGCGTAACAGTCACAACAAGTATCTAACAGCAGACGACGACGAAGAAACCATAACACAAAACCGAAACGGATCTACCAAAAACGCTCGATGGATCGTCGAACCGGTTCGTGATTCGTTCCATGTGATTCGTCTTAAAAGCTGTTACGGTAAATACTTAACCGCTTCTAACGAACGGTTCTTGCTCGGAGCTACGGGGAAGAAAGTGATTCAGTTGAAACTGAGTCGGCCTGATTCGTCTGTTGAATGGGAACCGCTTAGAGAAGGATCTAAGATTAAGCTTAGGACTAGATCTGGTAACTTTTTACGGGCTAATGGTGGTCTTCCTCCGTGGAGAAACTCGGTCACACACGACGTTCCTCATTTGTCTGCTACTCAGGATTCGATTTCTTGGGATGTTGATGTTGTTGAGATCTTGACTGATTCTGAATTCAAGACGGAGTCTCCGAAAGCGCCACCGAAGACGACGTCGCCACCGCCGCATCGGAGACCGACCAATTCGCCGTTGTCGGCTGAGTCTCCAAGGACTTCGTCTTCTCTTTCAGACAGATCCGATTCAGATGTGAGTACTTTTCGCAAATTACTAAAACACCCTTCGGTTTTGTTTATAATTATCCGTCGTACCGTTTTGTCCGGTTATTGAATGGTTTGATTTTGGTTTTGACCAGTCGGTTGAGTCTCCGCCTAAATCTGATGGACGAACCATACATTACCATATCGCTGATGAAGAAGGACACGTGGAGGATGAAACAACCGTTGGATATGCTTTCACGTTTAAAGGAAACAGCGTGGCGGAATTGACTCAGACATTGCGAGAAGAAACGTGCATGGAAGACGCTGTGGTGTGCACTCGTAGTCAGATAAACGGCAAGTTGTTTCCTCTTCGTTTGCAACTTCCTCCTAACAACGGAACATTGCATGTCGTTGTATTACCTTCCAGCGCTAGCCTCTAGACGCGTGAGTTTTTTACTTTTTGCGGTTTTACTTTCTTTATCTGCCTTAAGCACTCATATATCGATCGAGTTGATTAACCTTTGGCTTGTTTGTTAAATTTACCAGTGGCGCGGGACTTTGCGAGTGCAATGCGAACCGAATAATCGAGCTATGCGATAGTGATGATCGGATTGGGTTCTTGTTTGGTGAAGCATTTGATATGAACCTTATAAGAAGATAGTAAGAGTTGGTAGTTGAGCCTTGCTTAATCTATATTAAGAGTTTTGATAATAGGAAGGACTTATAAATTCTTTTTTTGGGGAAGTTGTTTGTTTATGTTTATGTATATATAAGCTATTTCTTGGTAAACGAACTTGTGGATCTTGGGGGTTTATTTGTGTGAGCATGAATTCGCATTCGCCATAAACAAATATCATTATTTTCTTATAAATGATTAATTTAGTAAATGGAGATGATAACTACTAAACGAACTAGAAGGGTCTAGAATACAATCGAATCTAGAATACACAAAAAGTGGAATATTTCCCAATATCCTAACAATTTTGATAAGATCTTATTTTCAAACTTGTTTATTAGAAGAAATATAAATTTTAAATTTCTTTTCCTAATTCGTAAAATTGTTTTTATAATGTAACAATACAGCATTTCATTTCTTAACTTAAAAATCATAATGTAAATGATATTTCAATAATATTTACATATTATACCATTTAAAATGGTATATTTACTACTATTAATTATTGCATTAGGAAAAGAGAGTCTCTTGATACAATTTTCAAACAATACAAATTAGGCCTGGGCATAATACCCGAACCCGAAGAACCGAACCCGACCCGAAAAATCCGATCCGAATCCGAACCCGAAGTTTTAAAATACCCGAACGGGTTCTAAACTTCACAACCCGAAAACCCGAACCCGAACCCGATCCGAACTCGAACCCGAACATACCCAAATATAAGTACATAGTTATAATATATTAGTAATATTTATACTTGTAATAAGCTAAGTGCCTAAATTATTCGGATGTTAAGATATTTCCGGATGTTTTAACTACTTTGGGTTACATTCGGATATAAAATACTTGAGTTTTGTAGATTTTTTGAGTATTTTTCAATACTTTGCATAGAATCGGTTACAAAATTTCTAATATTTGGATACGTCGGGTAAACCCGAATCCGAACCCAAAATACCCGATCCGAACCCGACCCAAACCTGAAGTTTTAAAATACCCGAACGGGTCTTAGTTTTTTAAATCCAAAAAACCCGATCCGAACCCGACCCGAATATCCGAACGTCTAGGCCTAATACAAATACCTTCTGTCATTTCCAAGTAACTAATAAATTGACAAATAAATATTTTTTTTCAAAAAATGTAATCCACAAAAATAATTTGAAAAAAATATACACAAATAGTTGAAAATAGAACCCACCAATTTTTTTTTTTTTTTTTTTTTAAGACGGATAATTTCACTTGCACAACTGGATTTATCATCAATTATTATATATTTAACTCAAAACACATCACTTCCCAAAAACCAGACGCTTCAACTTTATCCCCATTTCTCTGAAAACCCTAACAAATCCTCCTCTTGCTCCGCCACCGCCGCCGCCGCTATTCAACGGTGGTGATATATCTCAGTCATTCACTTCGATCCTCTTTCATCGATAATCCTACACAAATCCACAATCATGGCCGCCACTGCTTCCTCCGAAGCTTCTGAAGGACCAGTGATGGGTCTCATCAACAAGCGTCTCCGTGCTCTCCGCAAGAAATACAACCGAATCACTCAAATGGAAGAATCGATTTCTCAGGGAAAAACCCTAAACAAGGAGCAAGAAGAAGTCCTCCGCTCTAAACCTGCGGTCGTCATCCTTATTGAAGAGCTTGAAAAGATCCGCGCTCCTCTCTCCGCCGCTGTTGCAGAAGAAATCAGCCTCGCTACTCAGCATAACCGTGCTCCCTCCGATCAAACCACCGCGCCTGAGCAAAAGGAAGTCACTGATATTCCTCAGGAAGTTAGCGGCGGTGATGGTGGCGCTAAGTTGGAGGATCTGGTGAATCTCCTCTACTTTGGTTCACTCTTCGACGTCAAGTCCCAGAACGAGTTCACTTCGATAATGCTGACCAGGACTCATGAGAGAAGTTGCTGCTTGTCTTACGATTACGTTACCGATGATGCCACTGATCTCCTTGGCGATCGGGATTTGGATTCTATTTCTCAGCTTTGGAGCTTGATGGTATCTCGTCCGGTGGATTCAAGCTTATCTCACAAGAACGCTTTAGAGCGTTGTGTTGAGCACGCAAAGCTTTGGTTAGCTAATTCGGAGCAGCCAATAGAATCAAACTGCAACATTTCATGTAAAAAAAACTAAATCTGTCGTCTTTTACATCTCTGTGTTTTGGTCGTTCATTACTTAGATTTGTGATGCAGATGCTGCATTGAGAGAGAAGTTGAAGAAGATTATGGGGTCTGACTATTTCACTACTACGCCGGAGATGAAAGCTCCGGTTGATGTGGCGGCTGCTGCTGGTAACTACACTTCTTACCAGGTACCTGTGGATGTGGAGGCTTCAGGGCACTACCAGCAAAAGGTATTCACTTTAGATTGGGTTTTGAGTTGGAGAGGGAACTCTCAATGGATATCATGAAATTTGTTGATTTTCCTGAATTCTCTTACTTTCATCAAAAATTGTAGTGAATTTCATGGCCTAGTTGTACTGTACATATTTGCATAGTTCAAGGCTTTGTGGTGTGCAAAGCTCTTAATTGATCTGAAGGAGGAAATTAACATTCACATTACCTTAGTTGTGGTGAGATTGAGCTTAATTTTTCAAGGATTCAGAGTTTATCATTGTGTCTGCTATGAAGCAGAACATGTTTGAAGTTGAATTATGCAGCATTAGAGTGAGATGTGGTATGAGATCATTAGTAGTAAGTTAAGTTGTTTGGATAGGATGTAGAAGACATTCTTAATTTTCTATATACCCTGTTACTTATTTGATTGTTCAACTGTTCTCTTGAGTTTTGAGAACTCCATCCTGGTTAGAATAAGCTTTGTAGTGGGTCTACGATATGAGTTGTCAATATATTCTTGTTTATTCATGTGATTGATATTAACAAACAGTGACAATATTTGTCTTCACTGTAGTGAATGCTGACAAGTTTCTGAGTGTCTCATTTTTTGAATTAGAGAACATAAATCCCTCCCATGTGGTGTCTTGAACAATTTATGTGGGTCTGATGTTCCCTGTTTACAGGAAGAAGATGCATCAAATTCCAAAGAAGAAGAATCAGTTGTTAATGATCAATCTCCACAAGATGAGCGACAAAAGGTAATCCAGTCAAATTGTAGAGCTCTAATCATCTTTAAGTGAGTTGATCAAGGTTGAATCTGATGATATTGTTTTGGTGTGAAGGTTGAGTCAGTGACTGAAGGAGAGGTCATCCATGGACAACAAGAACAGGGCTATACTCAGGTGGGAGCAGAGAATGCTAAGAGAGACTATGTGCCACGTGGGTCTTACCAGAACCAGAGAGGTCGTCGAGGTGCTCGGAGAGGTGGTGGTGGTGGCTACCAGAATGGGCGAGGAGGTCGAGGTGGTGGTGGTGGCTACCAGAATGGGCGATACGAAACTTATGATCAATCTGGTGGAAACGGTTACCAAAGGAACTACTACAACAACAGAGGAAGGGGACGTGGTGGTGGTGGAGGAGGAAATGGCCATTCATACAACAACTACCAAGACCCCAATGTTACTGTTGCGTCTTAGCTTCTGTGCCTGTGTCTTTTGGGTGCGTCTATTTCGTTATCTTGCATTTATGCTATAACTCATATAAGCCAAATCTTTTGTTTGAAACGTTTGACAATGGCTCGGTTTTTGCTATGAACTTTTGTTTTTTATGTGGCCATCAATTTTACTGTCTTCGACATATCAACAATTGATCTTATTTCCATGAAAGCGATAGTCAAATAATATTTTAACATATCCAAACAGCAGGAACGATATTAGTCTATGGATCATAATTTGGTCATTGATCATGTCTCTTGTTTGGTTCTATGTCTAGAAAAGGCTTCTCCTCCTTGAAATCTTCAATTTGTGAACCGGCTTTATACTGGTAGCTTCGGGCACAGTACCAGAAATACATAAGGTTAATCACACCCAAACAGGCAATCAGATAGTAGAAGTAATCCAATTTCCCTCTATCAAGGTCCTTGTTCAGCCAGTCCGGCTGGTCTTTTGTGCCTGAAACTTTATGCACGGTGGTCACCAGCAGACTGCTCAGATAATTAGCGGCAGCAAATGAGAGTGGAAATAGCGAATTCGCTATGCTTCTCATGTGCTCTGGAAATTGACTGTTGAAGAACTCGATCTGTCCAATGAAATTAAATGACTCGCAGAGCCCCATCAGAATCAGTGGCAAAGCCAGCCAAAAGACTGACATTTGAGTCATTTCAGTAGCCCGTGTCCGCCTCACTCCCTCTACAATCCCTGCAGTGAACATGGAGAGAATGGCGAAGACGATCCCTATCCCCATCCGTTGAAGGAGAGTGAACCTGAACTTTCGGATTCGCCATAGGAACGGGACTAAGAGGCGTTCGTAGATAGGCACCCAAATGCCTATAGTGATGTAAGAAATGACTGCTATGGAAGCAGCCGGGATCTCAAAGTGTGGACCCATGTGTCGATCCATTTTCGTAGCTTGAAAGACCATGAAAGTTGCTTGTGTGGTCATTGCAACGATTGAGATTATTCCAGCAGACCAAACCGGAACGACTCTGATGAGACACTTGACCTCTTCG